CCTTCTTAAAACAATCTAAACGCTAATTCAGTAGTTCCTGAAATATAGAGAAATAAGACTTACGACAGACTTTCCTGTACTGAAAACTAAAGAATTATAAGGTCAGTGAATATTGAATTTCCGCTCTTTCTGATTGGATTAACATCTTTCACATCATTTATTCATTGACTGTTGGACATCATTTGCTAACTCACATCCCTGAGCAGGGAAACGATCGCCTGGAAAACGGATGGCGGCTTCACTGGTCTGGGAATCAGGATTTCAGAAACGAATCAGGAGCGGTAGCGCTGGTGTCGCCCCGAGTAGTGAAAGCCCTGGTCTCCGTCGGGTACAAGACCGACTGGAAGCTCATTTGCCGTCTTGCAAGAAAGCATGCGAAGGTCGACACGGTTATCAGTATATGTTGACAGAAGATGCTGCATCGAAGTAAACCGATTCTCATATAGGGATAACATCGCCGTTTTAAAGAAGATAACAGAATAGGGAAAGAGATTCTAACTACCCTGACATGCAGCATTCCCAGACTTCTGAGTAGCTTCCGACTTTGTACCCGTCAGTTCTTGTGGTGCATACTGCGACACTACGTAGTATCGCAGATCATCGGTCTGCTGTAAAAACTGTGCTAAGGTACTACAAACGTCATCAGAGCAGAAGAATCGCTTTCAGATTGACTTAACACCAACACTGCACGAAGAAGAGGTGCTTTCACCTATATTGTGATGGATTTTGTGATGCGGAGGAGCATTGTCCCCAACAACAGGCGAGGATTTACTAGGAAACGACGACTCATCCGAAGGTAAGCAGAAGTACCCATAACAGATCTCGAGTACACTGAATATATTTTTATTGAGCGACTCTGCTAATGGCTTACTGGCACGAACTGAAGAAGTGTGTCACAGACGGTATGCCTAAAAGTTAACCCTAACAAAACGAAGATTTCGCGAGAATCTGATTCAGTAAACGACCCAACAGTTCAGTGGTGAGGAATAACAATCGAGGATATCAAAAACTGCAAGAATCTCAGCTCTGTACTGGTAAGAGGTGGAAGCTGGGATACAGAAGTAAAGCGGCGATCACGACTGTGAACTTCGGGTAACGTTCTAAAGTGTTGTCAGTCTGATAAATCCGGACGGAACAAAGATCACCATACCGAAAGCCGCTGTATTCTCAAACCTGAGGTATAGCGTTGAAGCATAAACCTTTTTAACGGGCCATTAAAAGATGTTAAACACTTTTCTGCAGCTCTGCCTGCGAAACATTTTGAAAGTGAGTGGATTCAGTTCCACTGATTAACGAATAAAAAGGTCAGACGCATCGGAGGTCAACACAACACCCTAAAACAGCTGCTAAAGGCGGACTCGCTTGCGAGGAGGAATATGACTATTTCCCGAGCAACGAACATCGTCTAAATCATTCTGAGAAGACAAAGCGTCAAACGGTTTATCTGGGTACCCTTCCTCAGACCTGATACCCTAGATTACGGTAATAACAGCAGCATTCGCTAATGTGAGGTTTACATTTTCCGCATTTCATCAGATTGCCTAGAAGAAACAAGAAACGCACAGACTAAATTCGCTGATTCATTCGGATCAACAGATTCGATGTCGTAGGATGGTGACGAAAATGACCTTTACAACAGCTGTGAACTTTGCGTAATGTCAATCTGAGATACCGTTACTGAATATCAGATATCGCAAATATGGGATACTGCACTGCTTAAGCTCTGGTAGACCTCCATGAGATGAAAAAACAATACTCTCGCAGAACTCTTCTACGACAGAAATCATTCAAACAGCATGTTGACTGATCTAGCCTAGACTCTCGAATATTAACTGTGGTTACTGAAGCTAAGCAAGTACCTGTAAACTTCCATGCTTCGCACTCTCTGATTAAAAATAAGCAAATGAGAGAAACAAAAATGAAACAAACACAGGTGTAAACGTGTCACCTAGTCTTCATCATACCATACGTTAAAATCTTATCAATGAGAGAAGACAAGAAGAAGCACTCATAGAAGACAAAAATATGTACGAGCTACAGATGACAGACACAGGTCAATACGATCAGTAGGTTCTAATCATACATCGTCCATTATAAACAATATTTGAGACCACCGATTTTTGGCCCATGGTTATAACGATAAGAGTTTGAATGATTCATGATTTAGGACATCAAGCACTGCAGAGAACAAATCACTTTATTGGCGACGTGTTTCGCTACCTATACGGATCATCATTACAACTAGCCTAGTTAGGAACCATTCTGTCTTTAATATTAGATGAATATTCCAACTGGTCCTAAAAAGATAGAAGCCCTGCAATTAACCCAGGCGCTGTACGCAATCCTTAAGAAGTAAAAGTTTTATTCTGATATCCCAATGTTAAAGTGTATTCACCAAAAGCTGCTATTTTAGGTATGACGGCAATACGCATTCATCAAACTTTTGATTTCTTTTACGCTGCCTGAACTTCATGGAAAATTCGCACATTCAGCTAAATTCGGATTTAAGCCGCTGGTCTTGTTCATCAAAAATTGATTTATTTCGCATTGTCTGATGTGTAATGCTTTAGAAAAAGATTTTGATTTATCTTTTATGATTCCCAAACACTTTTACAGTGTTTTCCGTCGTTTTTAACAGAAATCCTTCAACCGTACAATGATTTGTCAATGGCCTTTGCATTTCTGAACACTAGTAGCTTAAATGCGCATACAAAACGTTTCGTTATATGCATGTTTATCATGTTGCTTTGTTGAAGACAGTTCTATGACAGGAACTGAATTCATTCTTTTCACTTTACTGTTGTTTTTTGTTAAAATTGCGACTCCCTACAATCAATTTCAAAATTTTATGATGCTGAAGGTAATGATGAAACTGCTGTTGCTGTGCAGGTTTATGACACATTTTGTATGTTTCCGTGTCAGCTGCAATTTACTATCGTTATTGCAGCAGTACCTGACAATCGGAAGTCAGTGTTTTAAAGTTCTATCCTCAGTAACATCTGCTAAGCATCAGTATGCTTCTCTTGTACCTCTTATTTTCGTCGAAGGTAAGCCTTGAAAATAACAGCTGTTACAATTCCA